CGCTCTTCAATTATTCTCAGTCCTTCCTTTTGGTTCCTACAAAGGCACATTTGAAGTTGAGTGTTGTCAGTGCGGAATTGGAGAACTTGGCTTGCAATGATTGTTAGTGAAGTTAGCAATTCCACAGGATGGTTTGGACATGCCCTCGCAATACCAAAAGTCTTTCCAGGTTAGAAATACAATTGTCTGAAATTGAAGTTGTGTTAAATAGCAGATGGTTGATTTTGGCAGTTATAAAAAACCTTCCTTTGAATGCTGTGCAGCTGAATGTGGAGTTAGTTACTGTGATGTGCAAGAAAGTGACTTGTCTGAAAGAACCAATCTGACAACATAATCATCCTTTAAAAGAGAAACAGACCAAGTTTAACCTACATCATGCAGTCTTAAAATCAATTCTTAACAAGTCAATGACAAAGCAAATGATTTGAAGTAGGTCTGAGGTGCATTGTAACTACTAAGACAGGGGTTTTTTATGTAGGTAAAATATTAATTTGTATGTTAGAATATTAAGAATCTGTTGGCTTCAAATATTGTTCAGAGAAATTGTATTTGAGTTATTTCAACCTCTCCTCTAATGGTATCAACTAGAAGGGAGAAACCAAGTCAGTGCTAATGCTAACATGCAGGAGCGTGGCTGGTTACACTGTTCAAGCAGCTGAATCTTAGATGTATAACAACGGGTATGCCTGGAAAATAACAGATCACCGAGTTCTTGTTAACATATTTTGCTTTTGCTATTCCCTTATTTCAGTGGTGGATACAAATGACAGATTCCTGCGCAAAATAACAGTTGGGCAGGCAAATACGGAGAAAGGATTTGTCCGTCAGGTATGTAAAGGCATATCTCATTCTGAACAGACTTTGCTTTAGAGGCTGAGAGATCTTTCTGTAGTTCTTTCAGCATACTTCTTTGAATTGCAGTGCTAACATCTGTTGCTGTTGTATAGTATTCTTGCAATGAAACTGATTGTGTTAGTGAGTTAACTGACTCAGAAGTTTCAGAAACCAAAACCAATGCATCTTGCACAACGTGTTGAAAGCACTTGAGAAAATTGCATGTGTTAGGGGTTGAACACTGTCATTCTATGAGTATAAAAGGTGCCCTTATGCCCTCATAAGGATAATTTGTATGATTTTTCTTACTTTTTTTTAGTCCCTCGAACTATTTATGTAGTATTTATGTAATTTAAATTACATTTAAATTTAATGGTAAAAAATTGGGGGAGGGGTTGGTCATGTGTTGTTGGTCCCATTGGTGAGGTCTGAAAATGACCAGGTGCTTTTTATTCAGGATTTTCATTTCCCTATCGTGCATCTCAACTTTGGGATCTACACTGTAAGAACTTTGAGCCTGTGCTTTATTTTAATATGTGGGCTTGAAAGGGATAGTTCAGAAAATGAGCATGTGTGTACACTTTTCAGCAGTGTAAAAAGCTAACCTACGTTACTACATGAGAGCTTCTGGAAGTTAATTAAAGAACTGACTGTGAAACTGAAAGCCAGACTTACAGTGTTGGACATGTGGGTAAATCCATTTCTGAAACAATGCAGTGTGAAACAGCAATGCCAGGTGGAACAAACTCATTGTGATAATGTGGAGTTGCTCCTAATTTGATGAAGATATTGTAATCTAACATTCTGGATCATGAAATTCATGAGGTTCTGACTATTTTGAGGTGAATAGCTATTGTGGTAGAGATAAGGCTTTCATTCATTTTGGAAATCCTATCTTTATTTTTAATTTATCATTTCAGACCTCTTCTAGGCTTTGTGCCTAAATAAAGAGACCAAAAAATAGTGCCAATGTTTTTGCTCAATTCAGCATGGAAACCAGTCAAATTGGAAAGAACAACTTAAGAGAGAAATCATAGAAACATGGAATGGTTTGGGTTGGAAGGGACCTTGAAGATCATCTAGTTCCATCCCCCCCTGCCATGGGCAGGGACACCTTCCAGTAGAAATGCTTGCTTGTTTTGGTTTTGAACAGACAGGGTAGAGACTTTTCTGTCTATAACTTACAGAAAATTCAGTATTAGCTAATACTCATCTCTGATAATGGGCTGGGACTACAAAATATTATACTTGGTACAAGTTCCTCCAACATTTGAGATGTTCTTCCTATGTTTAGATTTGTTTCAGTGACTCAGTGTGATTATTAGCTTTGAGCGAGGTTCTGCCAGCCTTATTGTGCAGCATTTTACCACCATAATTAGCTGCTAAGGTACAAGTGGGTTGTTTTATTATAGAGTACTAGTTGACATAGGGCTGTCAAATGTGCTTCTGTACTGTTTCGGCTAAAATGAACCTTGATGCTTTCAATTTTGATGTGTTGGACTGATGCATATCCATTCACATTTTACCATGGACTTAGGGCTACCAGTTAGGAAAACTCATTTCAGAGCCTAGCCGGAGATCCAGAGAAAACAGGACTTCATAGTTAACAGATGCATTTTATAAATATTTAGAGTGATGTTCTAGCACTCTTAAAATCAATGACACCTGTGTGAAATGGCAGAGCACAGCAGGCACAAAAGTCTGCATTTTAATGAACAGGGATGCTGTGGTTTCTAGAGAGTATTACATGACCAATGCCCTTGATCCTGCAATTGAATCCATGTGGGTGGATCCTTTCATCAGTAGAGAACTGACTTTACAGCTAAGGCTTCTGTCAGCACTTCATAGGTGTATAAAGGTTATTAGAGTTAAAATAGCACCTGCTACTGCAGTCTTTGTTGCCTGTTTTTTCAATTAAATATTATGTCACTCTTTGGGCATCTACCTGGGATTGTTTTTCCTGTCCTTTGGGGTTTATATAGAAACAATGCTAATAACTTTTTTTTTTTGGTCGCTTTATAAACGGTTCTGATAAAGTTAGATAATATTCCAGTGTACATGTAGGGCATAGATTTCTCAGGCTTATTTTCTGTCTTAAATATGCTGCAATGACTTCCCGGGGACATTCTTAACTTCAGAAAAGATAGTAGCATCCATGTCATCACAACACTAACAATGTTCATTGTGTTCCCCGCTATTCCATTATCTATAGAACTGCTTCCAGGGGATACAGAAAAATCTGCTTTGTAGATTCAGCATTTCATTTGAATCCCTGTGCTGAAAATCTCAGTTACAGGATTTTTTTGTTAGTTTGTTTTCCGTGGTATATATCTCTCCCTGTCTGTGCCCAATGCAGAAAATTGCTCGGGTGTCTTCAGAAGTTTTGACTAACAGGCAGGTACATAGAGGTCAGCCTGAAAAGGGCTGCTCTGGGCTGCAGCTGTCAAGGTAGAATCTAAAAGCAGGAACGTAGGCTAAAAAAGGGCAAAAGCTGTTAAAATACTAGGCAAATGGATAAGAGTGGTAAGGTGTATGTTGAACAATTCTCTACGTAGATGCTTCCTAAACAGGCAAAGCCCTCAATTTGAACAGATTCCTCTGGTTTTAGTCAGTATGGGATACATCTGGTAGAGGTCTGACACAGAAACAGTCCTGGGGGCCTTTTTTACATAGATAGCAGCAGGATGTCAATTACTACTTTTTTTTTTAATAGACTTTAATTGCTGGAGATGGAGAGATTACTAAAGAAGCTGTAGTTCTTGTTCACCCCCAACATTGCGTTCCTATCACATAATACATAGTGACTTTGTTTTTCTTCTCTATTTACATTCTGACAGCACATGGCCTGGGCTTTGCTAATGGTAAATTAGTAAAAATACTGCTAATGTATACTGCAAACTCTTAAAGAAAACTAAGGGCCACAACTTATCTTGTGCTGAAATACTGCACAGTATGTATGCATTTCGACAAGAGCAATAGAACTGATGCTGCATATAGTTCTTGGGGTTTTTTTAACTTACGTATTTGTTCATTAAAAAAAAAAAAAGGGAGGATGAAGATACATTTTACATTATCATAGGTCAAGCACAAGACCTAGCAGCATAGACTCTAAATTTTGAATTTATGTAGAAAAAGAATGATCAAATGTAACAAGAATGTTTTTGAAGCCAGAATAAAAAAAAAAACTTTGGAGAGCATTACAGAAAAAAACCCACAATGCTGTGCTCATGCCAGTAAAGCTCAAAATACATCTGGTGATTTTCTTTTTTGCCACAGAAAAAATTTCCTGGTTCTTCAGGGAATTTCTGCTAAGGGTAATGTGAGCCAAGGGGCTAAGCACTCTGCAGGACTGGTCCCCAAGTAAATGAAGTGTAGCAGAGAACATTAATGAGGGAATATAAACAAAGTGTTTGAAGTTGGTCTAGTCTGAGTAATCTCAAAAGCTGTGGGTTACAATTTAGAACTTGCTTGAATTCCAGTCTGAAATCTGTCTTTCCTGAATCTATTCTTCGCGATTCCCTGTGAGTATCTGACCTGACTTGGATTTGGTTCATGATTCTTGTTTCTATCATACAGGCTCAGTTTGATATTGCTGTTGCAAGTGAAATTATGGCCATCCTGGCACTTACCACCAGCCTGCAAGATATGAAGGAGAGACTGGGGAAAATGGTGGTGGCCAATGACAAGAAAGGAGAACCAGTAACAGCGGAGGATTTGGTATGTTCAGTGCTGTAGACCTGTGAATAACCTCTAATGCATTTCTTTTGCCTCTCAAAGCATTAAAAAGGCAGGTGCATGCCAAGGATTTTGCTTTGAACAGCTCAGTCAGATATCGAAGAAAGATCATCTTCTGGGCCAAAACTTGCTCACAATGAGAACAAGATGTAGAACTCATTTCTCCAACTGCCTGGTAACATCTGGTTCAGGAAGTCTCTGGTCTCCATAACCTACTTGATAGTTTTCTACAATTCTTAAGGCAAACAAATTTGGTGCTGGAGGGAGTCAGGGTGTAGGCTCCTATTTGAGAGAGCTGGTAATGTTTGCTACTGTACTTGTAAAGTGTGCTCAGATGTTACAGTGATAGTTACCACATGAATGCTTATACCACTAAATCAGAATGGAAACAAGCTATTCGTAATTCATAGGTTGTTGATAGTGCTCGGGAGACAGGGTTATCTCTTTACATCATTAACGCTTTTTCTTCCTTACCTTCATTAGTTGCCGTTTCCTCATTCCCTACTTCAGCTTCTGAAAGAAGTCAGTATGTTCTTCCTTTATATCAAATTCCAGTCCTTATAGCCAGGCTGTGAGTGAGTAAACAGTGGTGGGAAGCTCACACGTGTTTGTGTATGGCAGGTTCTGGTGCAGCCAGAAGCTCCCAGTTAACCTTTGCAGTCCAACTGTATGCCAGGAGCAGGGTCACTGACTGGCATTAGTTTACTGTAACATGACGTTACTTGAATTCTGAAGCCTAATTGCCAAATTAAGTTCATATATTGCAGATCAACAGCACACTCTAAATACAATAAATATGATAATGCTTTGCTTTTATGCTTTTTTTGGCATGTGAATATACCCTTATAGCAGCTGTGGTACGTCTCAGAGCTGTGCTTTCATGCTACCCTGCTGGCAATGACTGCCTGTATCGCACAGACTGTGTGTTTTTTCCTGTTTGTCCCCTTTTGTGCAGATGTCCACATAACTAACTTGGTTTTTAGAATGAGCAAAGGAACCAGTATCCTGCCTTGTCAGCAAAGATAGCAAATCCACAAGCCAGAAATACCTTCACAGCCTTAATGGATTCCAGTTTAACAAGGAAATTAAAACAAAATATCTAACTTGCCTGGATTTAAGATTGAAATTAAGATAAGGGTACCAAAATTTCTAAGTACAGTCATCGTTAAAATTCAAAGCAAATCAAGCACTCTCAATTATGCAGGAGACATGAAGAACTGCGTTTTAATATTCTAGCCGTTGAAGTTTTGATTTTGTTACATAACTTTGTCTGGGCCAAATGGGGGGGGGTGGGTGGGGAATGAGTTGCCTTATAAAGCATATGCAAAAATTTTAAAATAATTCAGTGTCAGAATTAAAACTACATTTGTAATACATGATTTTAATCTTGATGCTGCTTTTGTATAAAGGTACTTTAATGTATTAATATTGCAAAATATTTAACCCATCTTCAACCACTTAATGCTAATCAGCTTCATGAATGAAAGCAGTTGCTTTTCTGTAGTCTGCCTCATCTATAGTTGCTCTGTGGAAATATAATGTTAGGGCTGAAATTACGAACAGTGCAGAAAGAACTTTTAAATTTTTCCACAATGTCCCTAAAATGAAATAGTGCCAGCAAAATGTCTGTTACTAATTTGGTTTTCTTTGGCCTTTTTTTTAAACAAACTTCCTACGCTTAGTGTCTCCATCATTTGATAGTGTCACTTGTGCTGAACATATGTTTCTATTTCTTCTTTAAAGCAGTGTTCTAAGTTATACAATAGAAGAACTGCCAAAGAAAAAAAACCAAATTCATCACAGTGTCAAGGATATGTATTATGACCATCTGCAGCTCTGCTGCTGCGTTCTTTATCTTCTGCAGGTTCTCTTCTTCATACCATGCATGGGGAGGCCTTGGGTGCTTATCTTGATTGTGAAATGCAGAAACCCCTACCTCCTTTGTTGCAGCGTGTGTTACAAATGAGGATGAGAACTATGGGAAGAACAGGAAGGTGATTTCATGGTTAAGGCAGAAAAGTGCCTTTTTGGAGAGTTGAATGCTATTCCTGTGTTTTTTCACAAAGCTTATGTGTGATGCTGTGTCTGTACAAACTGACACAATTTCTTATAGTACGGGAGGAGTTGTGCGTTCCTCAGTCTGGCTTGACACCCAGGAGCTAAACAGCTGAAATCTATGGAAAGAGGGCCATCAAGAACTTTGAACCAGGAGAAAGTATTTTATGTTGTCTCAGGTTGAGCATCCAAAATTGGTGAATACTTTTGAGTTTGATCCTTGTGTGTGCTGGTTTTTCTTCTGAAAACAGGAACAATTGTTCATTTCTGCAGCATTAATATTGGTGAAGAAGTCAGATGCTGTGGTATAGGGATTTAAGAAATGTCAAAAAAGGTAGTCAGTTCTACCTGTCACTTAAAAAAATTCTGAGGTTCATGTTTTATATATACTACCCAGGCTGAATTTATGCAAGTTTAAATGTTTGACAGTAGTCTTGAGTTCATTTGAATCTATGTGAACCAAAACCACTAAACTCTTCTCTGTGATTTGTTTCCAGATATACACAGAATATACTTCACAAAAACACAATTGCTCTTAATTTTTACTTTATATGCAATATATTTATAATAATACAATAGTAAAACCTAAAGTACACATTGGCAGATATAAACCAGATGCAGAGGTAGGCTAGGAGTAGTAGAAAAAACGATAAATTGAATATTTCATGAACTGAGAAGACTCCTTCCACAAAAGTAATGGATTAAATATCTGTCCTCTGTAATGGAACATACAGAAGTCTTTGCCAAAATGTGGTGCTCATTGTACAGTATTTTTAAGATAGAATTGCTTTTTGGCTTTTACAGTGTAGTAGAATTTTGATGGACATATGCCATATCTTTATGTGAAATTAAATGGCTATGTGTGCCCTAGATCAGTATTTCAGCAGCTATGAAAAATACTAAATAATGTCACTATTTTTTTTTAAAAAAAGACTTCTTCTCAGCTTACTTTCTGTGCCATATTGTTAGATTTCAATAATTCCAGGACCAAAAAAAGATAGTTTCATATTTACTTTTATAAATGATCTGTCAGCTGAATATATTTTGTTCTCTGATTCATGAGAAACATTGTGTACATACTTCACTTTAAACACAAGTGGTTGCAGTTCTTCTCAGCTTACGTTTTAGAGTTTAGTTTTTTACAGTACTGATATTGCAGAAAAATACTATCATTTTGTTAGAGACTATAGTTTCAAATGAAGGGAAGTTACAAGCACTTTGTTATTTTTCTTATGAAGAAAAGGATTTTTCTCTGCCTTTCAGTCTGTGTAACCCTTACTCGTTTCACAGTAGTTACTCTCAATCACCTTCCTTGTCATCTAATGCTGGCTTTCATTTCCACTCTTGCTGGACTTCAGAGACTGCTCCACTGGAAGTTGCTTTGAAAGTATTTTGGTTTTTCATCTAAGTTTGCCTTTCCTGTGTCATGAGTAAAATTTATTTTGTGCTCTATGATCTTTGCTGTCCTGGAGAGCATACCTTGCCCGACGGCTAGTGGATAGATGGAAGGGGTATTACTTTCAGAAGTACTCGCGATCAGTTCCAGGAGGGAAACCAGCAGAATTGGGTGTCCATATGCGTTTGATTTCAAGTCCTACTTCTTTCTTCTGACAGCGAGTTAGTGGAAAGTTAATGATGCTTGGGCTCTGCATGCTTAATTGGTGTGTGAGTGTCTAAGCCTCTTAATTCTTCTATAAAAAAATTATCTACCTTCTCTGAATTGGAAATGGGAACCTGATTCCTTGAATAGCTTTGAAAATCAGATCCAGGACTTTGAGTGAGCTGTGGGAATTGTTTGCTAGCTGCTTGGAGGATTGGGGATATGAAGGAATGAAAACTTTATTCTGACAGAGACGTGTCAGAGACATATGAAAACTTTTCTGGCTATTTAGCTTTTAAGGACTGTTGTTGACACCAAACCTGTTTAAGAACCGTGGAAGGCAGGTAGACGTGAATGGAGTGCTAATTGGTGTCTTTGCATCTTTTTTTCCTTGCTGTCAGCTTCGGATACAGTGAGTTGTTGTGTCCAGAATGCATATCTAATATGGATGAAGTTTTCCAAAAAGTTAAAATGTATCTTTTACTTCTCCCCCAAAGCCTTCTTTCCAGTCAACACGGCTTGGATCAGCAAATGGCTGTTTACATGCCTACTTTAAGTGAGCTGGTGGTCTCATCCAGCATGGAGTAGACAACAGAAACCCCAATCAGATGGCTGCAGTTGGCCTGAGTTAACATTTTGTCATTCCTTAGGCAGATTTCCCAAGAAACCTTTTCCCAAGAAGAGCGTTAGGGCTCTGATCCGTGGCTGGTCAGGTAGTTAACCTTGCCATTGACCATCTGATGTAAAGTTTTCCATGTGTTTTTTTTTTTTCTTCTCCAGAAAGTTGGATAGCTATTACAATTACCTTTCACATGGTAAGATTCTAAACTATCTCAGTGTTCATGCATTGAAAATTATCAGCAGCTGTTTCTCTCTTAGCGTAATGATGAATAGCTTATGCTATATGATGATGGAAAAACTGAGATACAGGAAGAAAATGTAAAATTAACCAACCTTTTTCTTCAGATATTTCTGTTACCTGGTGCCTCCTAACTAGTGTGTGTACATGGTTCTGCTTTCCATGAGACAGAACATGAACAACTTCACTAGCTGTTATAGTTTTGTGTTGCTCACAACTAGTGCCAAGCATCATTTCCTTCAGCTGGAGGTGGAAGGGGAAGAACTGTGCTTGTGGTCTGAGAAATTCTGTCCTAGCTGGCTGCTGAAACAGCAGGAAAAAAAACAGGCTTATAGATCTATTCAATAAGTATATTGCAAACTCTGATTTATTTTTTTTTAATGGAATCAAATTCTGCGCTGTGATCAACAGGAAAAAGAATTTATTTGTTTTGATAAATAGTAGGATTAAAAACTGGGGTTTAATGAAGAAATTACTAGGATTGAAATTTGTTCTATTTAATTTTAAATTCTTAGAGCTGGGACTAGGTATTCACTATTTTATTTGGTAAGTGCTTCAGATTTGGAAGTGAATCAAATCAGTTTTGTAAAGCAAGTTGTTATACTGAACAGATTTTAAATTTAATATCCTAAGAAACACACCCACTTTAGAATGACTGACAAATTACTAAAATATAAGAAATCAAAGGCAATAGCAGTGGCAGTTGTTTTCACATGGTCTTAAAAAGCAAACTCATTTATGGATAAAATATTGAAGTTGTATTTTATGCTAACAGCAGAAGAAAAATTGGGATAATCGTTAAATGAAACTTTATGAAACATTGTTTTTGAGATTTGTTCTGCATTGTTATCTAAATTAGTTTACAGATTGTTTTAATTGATAAGATTATAGTGATAAAGGAGCTTGTGGAAGTGAAAAGCAACAATAATTTATGTTCTCTTTTTAGCATGTTTTCTATTTTCCTTCTGTTTAGGCCATCAGCTTTGGATTCAAATGAGAGTAGTTGGGTATAGGTACAACATAGCACCAGGCTGCTTCTGTGGAAGTGGTGGAGCCTCAGCCATTCCCGCAGAGAGCTGGCGTGGTGGTGTTCCCTTGTGGTTTGATCCTACGTTCTAAAATTGACATACGAAGAAACAGAAATCTATTATTTGCTAATTCAGAGGAGGGAAAACGATATTGGTTTGCTACCAGTTTCTCATATTACATCTTTGTGGGTGTTTATAGATAGCGAGAGTTTACGAAACACAAAGAGTGAAGAAACGTCTTTCTTCTCTCTCCTTTCCTTCACTCTCCTCCAAGGAAACACTTGCTGTGCTTTGGTAGAAACCAGTTTTACTGTCTTGGTTTCAATTCATTTTTACCTGAGGCCAAATATTCTGCTGCATTTTCCTCTGAAGTCTGTGTTCAGATGTGATGCTCAGAAAGGGGAACCTAGCATTTGTGTAAAATACTGTGCGGATGTAATGACCACATGCTTTTATGTCTCTCATCTGTCTGTCATTTGGATTTTCTCACAGTTTGATTGTTCAAATTTGGGGTTAATTGGCAGGAGCTGTGTTGAGAATTATACAGCCATTATTTTCATTGCTCTTGGAACATTACTGTTCAGCTCTTAATAGGCTACTCAGATAATGTATCCATGTTTTTCAGCCTTCATTTTACAGTTTACAGCAGCTGGTATTTTTATTTGGTTTCGATGTTTCTTTTCAACCCAATAATGTATTACATTCAATTTTTGTGTTGTCCGGCAAGCCTGTGAGCCACTCCTTATAACACTACTGCATTTTTTTCTATCTCTGATCAAGTTCTTTCAAAACAAAACACATTTTCCTCTCAAAATCAAAGTAATTTAGGAATAAACTGAAATATAAGCTTGTGGTTTCTGGATAACACTCTGCATATAGTCTGATAGAGCTGTGCACACTCTATAGCCAGTTTTTTTTCTAAAATGGGTATTGAATTTTAGTGTAGTGGGGTGTCACGCCTTTCTCTTATTTTAAATTCAGTCAGTGTGAAATTTATCCGGCAAAATTTTTAAGGAGGAGTAAGATTTTTTTAATAACTAATAAGCAGCAATTCATTCAGCTCCTTTTGTCCTCTCATAATCACAGAAAAGCACCTCTAATTTTTAATCTCGTGACATATTCATTATCTACCCCATGTCAGCTCTATGTCTGCTTTCATCCTGTGTCCATTACGAATATATTTGTACAAGTCTTGAAAAACACCCTTTCTGGTTGTTGCTAGCTATTGATTCATGCTATTGATTCTGTCATGAAAGAAATACTTCTGTCATTTCTTTAGGCAGTTTTAGCAAGTTACTGCCTTCTTGCTTTCTCAGGTCTCAGTGGCCTTTGCTTCTGCTTCATCTTTTGTTCCTATGAACATTGTCATGCTGATCACTTAATAACTCTGTTTCTGGTCTCTCCATGCAATGGGAAGAATATTTGCCGTATTGTCTTTTGAGAGCAAAATCGTTACTATTTCTGGCACACTCTCTAAATACAGTATGTTAGAAGGCTTGAAGTAATATCTAAATAAATTCTTTATGTAATGCTGTAACACTGCTTATCCATCCATTATGGTTTATAAGCACACTTTCTTTTTCTCCTTTGAACTGTAAGGTTTTTTTCCTGTTTTAACTGTAAGCTTAAGTGTAACTCAGAATGTTGCATCTTAGAATTGACTTCCTTAAAATGTGGACTTTTTTTTTTTTTTTTTTTTTTAGGGAGTAACAGGCGCTTTGGCAGTTTTGATGAAAGATGCAATTAAGCCAACACTAATGCAAACGTTAGAGGTGAGTCTCACTTACAATGCCTGCCCTTCTTCTCTGGCTTTCATATTCCATGTTGTGCTTGTCATGCTTCTCTCCAGCGACCGTGCTTAATTTTCAAGGTTCAAGCAAGGGTCAAATCCATAGGGGTATTTTAGCAAATATTCATTCGTATATGTTAACTAACTATCTCTAGCAGCATTTATACCTTTTTGGTGGGTTTTTTTTTTCTTCCCTTTCTTTGAGACTCTGGCTTTAGTCCTAATTTTGCCTAGTGTTGCAGACAAGGTGCAGTGTGCACTGTTGAACTGCTTCTGAGCACACTGGAAGGCAGGTTCAGCTTCCAAGTAATAGACTTCCTTCTCTTTCCCATCTCGTTCTTCTAGGGAAGTTTCCTTTTTATGTATTTGGCTTACATATATGTTCCCATGACGATTCCCATGGCCCAACATTTTGAGTGGAAGGTGGATGCTTCACTATCTTGCCATAGTGCCTTCAGGGACTAAATGAAGCTTTGCTGGTCACTTACCCTAGTGAGCTTTCTTCCAACAGCTCAAAGAAAACAGAATTAGTACAACCTAAGTTTGTGACTGGGCACTCTAATATTGGCTTTTCAAAGTAAGCTGAATGATGAATAATGTTCATGAGAAGAGGGGGGAAGAAAAATGGGGGAATAATGAAGCGGTTTTGGAAACAAATGTATTTGGAGAAAAATTAATGTATATTATTGTAAGTTTGACCATCAAAATTACATAGCTAGAATATTTCACAATTCCTGGTATGGTGAAAAGTTGAAGAATGTAGAAGGATATCAGTGCAGTCCCTGGTTGGTAAAAATGTCTCATTTTCTACAGTGGGTCAAAATGATACCTACCTTTTTGTTTTTGTGTTTGGATGGAGACAACTCCCTACTCTCATGGAATATTAGAAAAATAGAATTTACATCACATGAGGTGTTATTTTACTATAGCCAGCTTAATTGGTTTCTCCTGCAAAGAATATCCATTCTTTCATGTGAGACTATGAAGAATATATGTGTGTGTCAGAATTTAATATAACATCCAAGAGCAGAAACTGGAGGTCACATAGGATCAAGAATGTCATGGCCAGAACTGTGTATTAAATCACCACTTGGATAACATTGTGTGCATTAAACATCAGTGACAAGGTAGCTTTGATTCTGAGTGTTTAGTCTCTCTGCACTTTGCATATCAGTTAGAAAACAATGTGATTTTGTTGTAGTGTTCTAAAAGACAATTATAAATGTCAGAAGAGTTTCTTTTGATCGATAGGCATTTGTTTCTGGGACTTGCATGCTTTTTTTTTTCTTCACTGTATTTCTTTCACATTTCTATGCAATAAAATTCCTGTCTTTTATGTGGTATTCTTTTCTAGTCTAAACTATGCTATTGCTGAAACATCTGCCAACTTTCATAAAACACTATTACTTGTTAGGAGGACCCTGACCACAGTACCCAAGGATATTTTCCCAAAAAATTCTTCTTACAAAGATATTTTTAAAACAGCAAACTAAAGCAGCTCAGAAGACTGCTTCATGCTCCACCTCTGCCATTTGAGTCTCAGAGACGAACTTTTGTCACACTTTGAATACCTTTTGGCTTGCAGGCTAATATGAGTCACCTATCCAAGAATGGAAGTCTCCAGCTTGCCTAAATCTTTTCCAAGACAGTGGTGTGCTTTGGCCAATGTGTGCCTCTTGGAATGTGTCATTGCTCTTGTGTAGAGATGCAATGGCCTACTCTGCTTCTGCCCATGCTGCTGTTGATGTTCTTGAGCCTCAAGCTTGTTTCATGTCCCATTCTGAGAACAGATACCTTTCATTGTTTTTAATTATTCATGTTAATATCTTAAAGAGCTGCTAATTTTAATAGCTTCAGTTTTTCAAGAAGAAAAAGGAGGGAGTGGATGGAATAAGGAAGATATTTTGCCCTGCACATTTGAATGTATCACAGTGATCCACCTGTGACTTTAGAGCCCTCCAGCATGATAGATTTTAAGCCAAGCTAATCCTAGTGTACCCTGAGGTAGTGGATGTAGTAATGTCCCTTCTGCTGTAGGGAATGACGTATTTCTGATGTGTGTGTGAATTGCAAGTCTCTCTTCTCGCAAACCAGAACTTAGGAGATTTGAAACCTCAATTACACTTGAAATAATCCTAGTAAGTAGCATCCAAAAGAAGAAGGACCTCTTAAGCTTCTGAAAAGGGACCTCTTAAGCTTCCAAAGAGTCTACCAAAAGTAATTGGGCAATATAATCCTGATCCCTTCAGAGATAACAAGTTTTTCATACAAGTGTAAGACGTTTAGCAACAGCACCATGACTTGACAATGTCATATCAGAAATGATCCTGTGGCAAGGACATACAGTGTCTACAGCACACTGGTGGTGTAAAAAACAGAATAATATGATTAAACGGAACACAAATGCAGCTCAAACTGTCCCATGGGCCTGTCCTGCAAGTAGGGATGAAACTGTTCACCAAAGCAGGTCTTTCAGATCACTTTGGTATTGGGGAATGGCAAAAAGACTGCCTGAGAAGGTGGAGCAGGAGACCTTCTGGGTTACTTCCAGCTGATACTAACAGTTAATCTGGCGTAATTTTAAATTATAATGTCTGTGGTTAACAGCAGCTGAAAGTAGCCATTGCAGACATAGTTGCACACCTCTGTGATCTGGCGAAGATCCTGTAGATGAGTATTGTGTTAAGCTGTGGATGTCTGAGGACTTACTTCTGTGGGCCTATGAAAGGGGAGAAGAACAATGTACTCAGTAGATTTTCACCAGCTTTATATGTGCATCTGCGTGCTCTGGAAAAGAGGTTTAGAAGTTCATAAATCAAAAATGACTGAATGCCAGCCCTGTGTGGAAGTGAACTGGCAACTGCTTTTTTTCAGATGTGAATTGATGTCTGTATTTTAATTTGCTGGGGTTTAAAGTGGTTTCTTGGTGGGTTGATTTCCATCACAACCCTGCTACTCTGTCACCAGAAGTGCCGCCTCAAGGCTTTAGTGATTGACAATGTTTTATATGCAGGAATGACAGTAAAATCTCAAAATGGGAAATGTGGGGCACTCCACCTCCAATAACTGTAGGCTTCAGTAGAACTTATATCCAATGCTGTAGAATTGAGATGACTTTGTTTGAAATGTACGTAATGATTTCATAGTGTTTATCCATGTTTGTCATGACAGATTTGTTCCTTTGTGAACTGATCCCTTAATGTTCGGCATTTATTTATACCATGCGTAACAGAGCAGCTGCTCTGTGGGACAACTCTTTGTAGTTGCAGGCTGGCTGCTCTGGGATGGTCTGCTCGTGTTACATTTGAAGTGCCACTCACAGTAAAGATGAGGGAAGGATGGTAATAAGTATTATAAACATCCATCTAGCGGCCAGATAACTTCAGATATTTATTAACATTCTGGGTTTGTTTTCTTCTACTAAAACTTGGATAATATAATTTCCTGTACTGAAAAGAGTCAGCAGAATGCATCCCTGTGCCACTGTTTGTTTCTCCATACAGTTTATTAAGAGTGTAACAAAAATAAGTGGTACTCTGCAGAGTGAGATGGGTGGGCTGACACAGAGTTAGTGAAGCTGGCCCAAGAAGACATTGTTGTCCCTGTTCCAGGGTGTGCCTGAGGCTCCCGAGGTTCTGCTGGAGTTCACTCCCTTCACTACCTAGGCTGTATTTTACTTCCAGGATTGCCCTTGTAAAAAGAGCATCCAAATAACTCCTCCTTTGCTTCTGGTGGATTTCAGAGCTCCAGGGGAGCTTCTGTCTATGCCGGTAGTTTAGTAGTGTGTTTGGATTTCAAACCAGTAGCAGGGGGACTCTTGGCTACTGATATTCGGGGTGTTGCACCCCACAAGTCAAATTTCCTTCACATCCGTGTTGTGTGGATGAACTTTTGGAAGCACAATTGCCCAGGGAATGTTTTGGGAGACCCTTCTGGCCTCCTCTCTGTATAGCAGCTGTGGGCTGCCCTCATCTTCTGTGTTTGTGCTTCCATACATCACATCTGCCCGTGTGTGCGCTGGGCTCTAACGAGAGCAGCCCTGTAGTTGCCTGCTGCAAGAAATTAAGGGCTTGGAAGAGTAAAAATAAACTTAGTTAGTAATAAAACACAAATCAGAAAAAATCCCATGGATTTCAATCTGGTAGCTTAAATCCGCACTTACTTAATTGAATGCCAGAAGGGTAAATACTGGGTTAAAGTAAAAGTAAAACTTAAGTAACAGAAACTTAGGTTGGTGGAACTAGTTTGCATTTTATTTTGTATAAAAACTCTTTGGGATAGGGGTAATCTTTTATTTTGCACAGCACCTCCCATTAGATTGATGCCTAAATACTGTAAGCAGCTTTGAAGGTGTACATAGTTCAAGGTAAATGTTTTACATAAATATGTAAAATCCCAATTGATGCTGCAATATGTGGTCATTAGCAGATAGAAAACAAGAAAAAAAATCCTAAGTAAACATTATGAAGTCAGTGTGTTATGATGATGATAATCTGCATCATTCCTTTTGTTACAGGACATGGTTTCTAGTTTATTTACTTTTTCTGCTCCAGTTCCACTGTTTCTTCTCTAACACGTATGAGGCAGAGTTGTCTTTGGATTGTAGCTTAATTGTCTAGGTTTTGGAGAATATCCCCTGCCCATATGTATGCATATTCTCCTTTTCCATTCTTGATTTAAAAAAAAAAAAAAAAAAAAAAATCCCCTGCTTTATTAGAACAAACCTGAAGCTTGATGTGTCAGTGGATAAAAAGTTACTTGTCTTCTTTGCTCTGAACAAAACAATTAATTATGTATAATTACTTCTAGAGGAAGCAATAAGAATAGATGCTTCTTGTTGGAATATTTTATATGACTTGTATTCAGTGTTGCTGAAACAGGAATATCTGTTTTCTATAGTAGCAAGTATTTCATTACTATAATCCAATTGTTCTTGTGTTTTATGGAAAACATGAGAATTTTTGTCTATGTAGGTTTTCTTAAGACACTGGTGGTGGTGGGCAGCAACCAGCTTTTATTATACGGTTAATAGTTTCTAAGTTGTGGTTCATGGGGCTGTTGGATGTGGCCTGCAGCTGATCCACAGAACACTGTCCTCCTTAATTGGTGTTTGTGATCAAAAATTGAGGAAGATGGCCCAGTAGCTTGCCTGAAATTTTGAGGGTTGGCAGTATCTCCTAATACAGAATGTGTGAAGAACATTGATGGAGATAATCTGAAGTTATCTGCTTACCTACTTTTTAAACAACTGAGGTTTTTTAAAAGCATTGACACAACAATGGGGAATTGTTTGCTTAAGTATTTTGTAGTAAGACAGCTGAAGTGACATCCTTCCATCCGATGGTGTATTCTAACTTGGAGAAAAGATAGCAGTTAATATATCTCACCTAATTCTAATCCCTTTCTCTAGATGCTAATTTTCTAATTTCTCCTTTCCTTGTGATGCCTGCCAAAAAAGTTACAGGGAAGCTGAGATTTGCTTGCTCTCTGACAACTTTCCCCATGCCATTACTTTGTTAACTTCTTACCTATCCTTTTGCTGTTTTAGATTGCTCCCTGCTAGAATCTACTCTCCTTGTGTATTTGTACGGTGTCTAGCATAGGGAAATTTGGCTCAGCACCCAGGACTCCCAGGCGCTTGGCCAGCAGTGGTGAATGCTTTTTTCATTGTATATCAGCATCCCCGCTGCACCCCAGCCATGTCCCTTCCCTTCTCCCTCTCCAGCTCTTTAACCATTGACTCTGGTCCCTCATTGCTTCTGCTGGCTACTTTGCCTGCACAGGAATGGCAGTTACAGTTGATGAGGAAAACAGGAGCAGTGTAAGGGATGGAGTAGGGCAGGAGTTGGGCTCTATTTGTGTATCATCTGCAGCGATGCACTTAGTGCTGATCGTAGTACATGTGCCAGAATAGCATGCCACAGCATTAGGGCAGTGGAAGTATGAAACATTAGTACAAGGTTGGGTGAGAAGTTGTGTAAGTTACCTACAGGTTGCACTGCTGTCCGTTACCGTTCTGTGAATGAAGCAGGTTCTGACACCTTGGGGTGTCAAGCACCTGAAATGTACCCAGTGTTGCCAAATTATCTAACTGTGCTTACTCGCTACATGTGCTTTTGATTTATGTATTATCGTGATTAGTCTACAAGAGCATTGAGCTTGTGTTTTTGTCAATCCATTAAATTAATGACATATATTTTTAATCATTCAGGGAACACCAGTATTTGTTCACGCTGGACCTTTTGCTAATATTGCACATGGAAATTCTTCTGTTTTGGCAGATAAAATTGCCCTTAAATTAGTTGGAGAGAAAGGATTTGTAGGTAAGTAATTATTCTGGTTATTATATTATGGTTTGTTGGTAAGTTGGCAAACAGTGATGTAAGTAAACAGATAAAATAGCAATGAAAGGTAAGAATGCTACTTCATTTTATGCTAATAATAATAGTAATCTTAAATAATCATAGAATCACAGAATAGTTTGGGTTGGAAGGAACCTCAAAGACCATATAGTTCCAACCCCCCTGCCATGGGCAGGGACACCCTCCACTAGACCACGTTGCCCAAAGCCCCATCCAACCTGGCCTTGAACACTGCCAGGGATGGGGCCTCCACAACTTCTCTGGGCAACCTGTTCCAGTGCCTCACCACCTCACAGTGAAGAATTTCTTCCTTGTATCTAGTCTAAATCTATGCTCTTTTAGTTTGAAGCCGTTATCCCTTGTCCTATCACTACATGTCCATCTTTCCTGTAGGCCCCTTTTAGGTACTGGCAGGCTGCTATAAGGTCTCACTGGAGCCTTCTCTTCTCCAGCCCAACTCTCTCAGCCTGTCCTCATAGGAGAGGTGCTCCAGCCCTCCTCTGGACTCGCTCCAACAGCTCCATGTCTGTTTTGTACTGGGGACCCCAGCCAGAGCTGGATGCAGTACTCCAGGTGGAGTCTTACAAGAGCAGAATAGAAGGGGAGAATCACCTCCCTAGACCTGCTGGTCACACTTCTTTTGATGCAGCCCAGGACATGGTTGGCTTTCTGGGTTGCAAGTGCACATTGCCGAGTCATGTTGAGCTTCTCGTCCGCCAACACTCCCAAGTCCTTCTCCTCAGGGGTGCTCTCCAATCCATTTTTTGCCCAGCCTGTAGTTGTACTTGGGATTGCCCCAACTCATGTACAGGGCCTTGCACTTGGCCTTGTTGAATTTCTTGCAGTTCACACAGGCCCACCTCTGGCATCCCTTCCCTCCAGTGTGTTGACCGCACCACACAGCTTGGTGTCGTTGGCAAACTTGCTGAGGGTGCACTCAATAATCTTAAAGTGAACGTATACAAAACCCAAAGCACTTCTCTCACCCTGCCCTTTATCTCAAGTGTTCCCATCACCATGTTTAAGATTCACAAGATGGCTGAACCAGTTAAATGACTGGATTGCATTGAGAGAAACATCTTGTAGTTCCTTCTATTAGTATTCATCTGACCTCTCTTGCTAAATGGACAGAAACCATACCCTTTTACTGCTGAATTATTTCTCTGCCAATTCAGTAAACTCAGCCAAATCAGGGTCAGATGTCCCTGCGCCAGTGCAGAGGAACAGCAGAGGAAAGGTGGTAGAAGAAAGGCTAAGACTGCCTTATTTTGGTGGCAGTGAGCCATTAGGTTGATCCAGCTGTATTGTAAAACCTCGGCATGAGGTCTTCATGTTCCCATGAAAGCATGTGGGTGAGTGGACTCTTTTTATAGTAAGAATTGAGCCTGCACAAGCAACAATAGACACATAGAACTTACGGTTGCAGTCACAGGCAAAATAAACTTGTGGCTGAACAGTGAACTAGTTTTTATAAAAATTGTTGTGTGTGTTTAATCTTCAGGATTAATAAAATGAAAGGGGTGTTGCTACTTTGCAGTAGCAATGCCTTTGTAGTGCTACAGCCATTTTCTTCTGTGTCCTGAACACCCAGGTTGGCCTACGTTAATCCTAAAGTTGAACTTTGAGTACCTGTGGAACAATGCTCTTGAAGAGGTGTAGCAATATGAAACATGAGGTTTCTTATGCTAGCGCCCTTAAACTAGCAGAGAAACACATATGTATATGCTTATGTCATACCTACATATTGCTGTAAATTACATAGAGAACCAAATTGCTTCAAAGTACTGTTTCTACTTACATTCATTGGTAATCGTAGAAAGGATGGGAGAGTTGTTTGCATTGTTATAGAATGTATATACTTTTTGTTATGATATGATTCAACCTATATATTTACAAATAGAGAATAGAAAGGTTTCTTATACAAAGTTGTGCACCAGTGAACAAGAAGATAGAGGGATGTCTTCTTACAGAAATCTTTAAAAGTAACAAAAATTAATACCAATAAAAAATAAAGGCTTGAAACCTATTATAGATCATACTGAGTTTGAAAAGAAACCCTACAGAAATACATCACTGGTATTCTCTGAATAGTAACAAAAATGTTGAACAGGTAGAAATTTTACTTATGTGTACTCCATTATCTTGACGGCTTTCTTCTTTTTAAAGAATACTTACTGATTTTCTATTTTCTCATTTTGACTTGTTCATCTTTATAGAAGTAAGTTTCTGATCTCCCTAAGCATTCTGTGTCTAGAAGAAATATTATCCATCCTTTTTTTTTTAAATAGAGTAGCAAAGTGCACCCAATGATTTTTAGATCCTTGTTAGGGTATTATTAACCACATTAGTTCCTAGAGTCAGGTTTCCTAACCTCCGTCCTTCTGATTCAATGTATTTTGCAAAGATTGTTGGACATTTGCATGTAATCACTTTGTTAGCAAGAGCATTCTTGCAAGGGAAAAGTTTGATTCAGTATGCTGCTCTCACTACTTATGTTTAGGTAGGAGTAACTAGGGAAATGCTGACCTGTGTATGAAAGTAAAGCATTGCAGTTAAGGTGGTAAACATGAGGTTTTCCAGGTAGTCTGGGCTTGTGTTGTGTGTTTGTGTTTCCTTTTTGAAATGCATGATCACATCAAGGAAAAGGGTTGTTTTCTCCTGTGTTACTGTTGTACAGCTCAAGGATCTGTTAATTTCCCTCTGATAATCAAACATCCATTCAAAGTAAGAATATTTAATGATAATAAAATTGGTATTTTGTTAAGCCATTTTTGTTGTTATATGGCTTTGTGGAATGAAGAGCAAAAGCATTTTAGGGTAGCCAACACTTTTCATAGGCTGGGTGAAGTGACTTTGTTTCTGCAGCGAGCAATATTTTCAAGTGGGAAGTCTGGTTTGTATCATCTGAATGGAAGTACGTTGGCCGCAGTCTTGAGTCTTGATCCAGGTTTTGGAGCCCAAAAAGTATCGCCTTGGATTTGGATTCCCCTCCATTCAGTGCTTCCCTCAGGCACTGAGAGCTTATCCTTGCATTTCATGCTTTATTTTGGTCTTATCGACCTGGTTGTCTTTAACACTCTTTTTTGCTTTGTTTGTCTTTGGCCCTAGTTTCTCTGTTGGGAGGCAAAGTGGTGTAGCTGCAATAAAGGAAAACCTTTGTGTGTTGCCAGCTAAAGGCTCTTGTTCAGATTTTATTCTACAGAACACAAATCCCCATTAAACTGGCTTCAAAATGCTCTGCTGAGCAAAGAACTTCAGCATGATTTTTAGATCCTTGTTAGATTATTAAAAGCAGTAGTTCCTAGAGTGATCTAGTTAAATAAACTTTGCAGGTAGTCACAAGTGTAAATGGTTGTTCTAATGGTTGTAATTACCGTAAGCTTTATGGCTTAAAAAAATATATATCATATCTGGTAGCTACACATGGGCAGAGACCACATGTAGCATTTGCTGGTTTATTAAATACTGTCCTATCCTACCCTACACAACTGACGTCTAAAAGGAGAGCTACGAAGGGAGCACCAGTCCGTGTTGAGGTTACGTCCATACAGGCAGAGAGCGCAGTGCCTTGTAAAGCTACACAGCAAAGCAGTTAGCAAGAAACTCCAGCCCACTCTGCTTGGTGTGGCGTGTGCCTGAATCTGGTACGGCCATTGAAACTTGGTGGGGAAAGCTGGTTCTGTAGTTAATTCAGACAGTAGGAATGCAGGACAGCTATGCTGCCATTCTGTAACTAGCTGAACAAGTTTAGTTACTCACTCTTGCTAAAAGTAAGAATTTTCACTGCTCCACGTTTCTCTCTTGCCACTGTTCTCGTGCAGTTCGTCCTTTCCTCACGTTGGATCTGGCACTCATTAGATTTTTGCATAAGTGATTGGGCTTCATCTTTTGCCATGTAGGTTAGTTGCATAAGCTCATAAAGAGTCCAAGAGGTGCTAGAAATAGCGTAAGGTAAGTGGCAGAATTGCGTGGCTGGGAGAGACATTTTAGGGACCACAAGCTATGAGACTGGCTCTCAGCCTTGTGCAGCTGCATCCAAAGCAAGAACATAAGAAATCTGTGATAGGGTCTGCAATTAAATTAATTTCCTGTATAGTGGAATAATTAATGTACTTATGCTAGCTCACTCACTGTGAGATGGATGATGAGATGTATATAATATATATAATCTTTATATATTAT